GTCACTGATCGAGTCCGGCACACACAGTACAAGAGAAAGACCAGCAGAGACCTGTGCCGGTAGACATTCTCTGGCTCAGATCGGCAGAAACCGAGTCCAACAGAGACCGGGTCCAGCAGTGACCTAGTGTAGGCAGAGACCGAGTCATAAAAGAAACATGGTACAGAAGATACCGAGTGCGGAGATTTTTTTTAAAAAAATGAAATTTTTAAATATTTTCGAAAAATTAAAAAAAATTGGAAAATGTTCAAAAAGTGCACAAAACTGAATTTTTTTTAAAAATTCCAACTTCAATTTTTTTAAAATTTTCGATAATTTTTAGTTATTTTCGTTTTTTATGACATTTAAAAAGTTTTTGAAATTTTTGAAAATTTTCGAATTTTGGAAGGCGTTCCATCAGACACCCAGACTGGCAGAGATCGGGTATGGCACAGACCCTGTCAGTCACAGACCGGGTACGGCAGAAACCGTGTCCGGCAAAGGCCGTGTCTGGCAGAGATCATTTCCGATAGTGACTGGGGCAAGCAGACAGTCCCAGAGTCAGACCGGTAGAGTCCGGTTTCTGCAAATACCAGGTCCGGCAGAGTGCGGTTCCTGGGGTGACCGGATCCGTTATAGACCGGGTCCGGCACAGACTTATTCCGTGAGAGCGTGTTGTAGTTGGTACATCCAATATATTATGGACATTTCTGTGTAGCATAGATATCTAGTTTTATATTACACAGAATATTTATTGGCTCAATACAAACACAATTTAAGATTTGTGAAGATTATTATTGGGTTATGAAACTCTGAGGAAAGACGTTTCATTACATTTTATTTCTCGTTTATCTTTGCAGCTTGTTGCTATAAGTAAAGTCTGTCGTGGAAGATATGGCTAGAAGGGCAGTTATTTTGTGCTTATCTGTTGATCACATGCCTATAACCATTTTGCGTTGTAGGGACTAGTAACTTCTAGATATCAGAGTTATGCTCTGAATTACGTCGTTTGACTTAGTAGTGCTACTTCGATAATAGGCGGTTCGTATAGCCCCGCTCAAAATTCAGGAACAACACAAGAAAAATCAAGTCGCTTAGAAGCTGTAAAAAAGTAATTAGTAACTATAAGCTTAGAGGCTAGTCTATTTCCATCTTTACAACATGAGATCATTAGTAAGTTTCTCGCTGCCACTACAAGAGTCGTCGAGCTGTTCAGACTTGTGAACGCAAAATCACTTCAGCTAGAGTTTCGACCTGACCATAAGTTTGTAATTAGTCTGACGTCAGACTAACAGATGGAAATACAGTGTGTCCTGGTACTTAGTTCTACTGTTTGATGCTATTATTTTGGTCCTTCATATCACAAACTACTACACCCAGTCCCACGTGCAATTATATAGACCAGTCTTTTCACCTAACGGCAGGAAATGTTATATACAATGTTTCTTAACAGTTTCGTTTGTTTATGTTGATAAGTTCCTCGATTCTACTCATGGACTTTTCTACAACCATGATTGAATATATCTGGTTCATGAAGCAGAATCTTTCTTCAAAAGCCGATAATAATTCAGCTAGTCACATATATACCAATCCTTTATGGAACTAACAGGAGGAGACTGGGTTTTGTTGGCCCAGGACAGGGTCCGGTGGAGGGCTTTGGTTAATTCGGTGATGAACCTTCGAGTTCCGTAAGTCATCTGGTTGGTTGGGTCCACTATTTGGGAAGCCTGAGGGGAAGAGACCTCTGGGGAGACCTAGACGTAGATGGGAGGATAATCTCAGGCGGGATCTATGGGAGATAGGAGTTGAAGGAAACTGGATTTTGTTGGCCCAGGACAGGGTCCGGTGGAGGGCTTTGGTTAATTCGGTGATGAACCTTCGGATTCGGTAAGCCATCTAGTTAGTTAGTTAGTTAGTTAACAGGTTCATTACCATATTTACAAAATCCCAGTACCAACCGAATCCAACCCATACACTCATATCCTGTTCTACTATCAATTTTAATATAATTTTCCCTTCCATTCCATTTGACATCACAAGGACCTCTGAAACGTCGATAAACGTCTAACAGACGACACGGCGCAACAACCCAGAAGACAGTCATCTTCAGACTCACCGTCGTAAAAACCTCATGTCCTACACATTTACCTATGCGTTAAAACTTTACGTGTTAAGCTTTTTCCTCTGAAACGAAAACTGGAATAAATGTGTAATATTACATACCCGAGTGACATGACAAAGATTTATTATCGCGCAACAAGAACACAGAAGTGCAGAACTTACCCTTTTCTTGTGGACAAAGCGTATCCTCAGGGGAAGTCCCTCAGTTGATGTTTAAAAGACGGGAATGCGAGATGCTTAAAGTGTATTTATGCCGATTTATTATCTTTTTACAGAGATCGTTATCAGAATAGACTATGTAAGAATTTGGCCTAATACGAAATGTAAAATTAATTTTATTAAATCTTGGATGAAATTTTCCCCCATTGTCTTTTTGTACTGTATTAAAATGTCATGCCTCTGAAATTAAAATGTAATGGGCCAGATTAAGTGTAGGTAGCGTTTACTTCTCATTTCTATTTGCTTTTGTCTTCGCTTAAAGCGTTACTATATTAGTAAGCTACATTATTCTGACCTAAACTGTAAAGAAATTAACGTACAATTAATTATTTGCAAACAGTAGTGGCATAATTAATTGACAAATAATAATCACAGAAATCCACTCCATTGTACGAATTCATACTAGCAATATTCTTCTCAACAATTTTTATTTTAATATTTTAATTCCAGTCTGCCTTTCAACCTTAAATCTGTTCATCTTTCCAGCGTATCTCCTGTCTTAAATTCTAACAAACTTAAACACAAAATTCTGTAACCAACTAATACTTGTCGTTCATGCTTCAAAGACAATTTAATCATGTATTTCATTGATCGTCGAATACAATTCTACTGCACCTCACCAAAGCAGTTTTCGTATAAAGAAGTTGGATCCAGCAAAACACAAAGCAATACAATGGTGCGTGGCAGTATTACATTAATGTGAAGTGAAGCCTACGTTTTAAGTCCCACTTTATTTGTGCCTCCCTATAGGTGCAATAACACTTGTGTCCAGGTTTTATCTTCATCTGTGATAAGGCAAGAGTAAGTGGGACCAATAATTCCGTTACTCCATGCAACTGGGAGAGGAGACCCGTAGTTCTGAGATGGCTATCTGAGCAAGTTGAATAATTACCATCTCCCTCCTTATTCCTCTTGCAGTCTCTGTTACTGGAGCCGCTGGGACAGTTTGTCTAATCGGAGCTCCAGTTAGTGGGCAGAGAGGAGATGGTTGCGGGGTCGGAGAAGGGGTGTGTAGGCGCCCCGACCTGATGCTGGGTTTTGTCTTCTCGTTGCATTAACGCAACGTGCTGGCTGCCTTTAGTGTTTCCACCACCCACTGCAAGAACTTGAGTTAAAACACACACACACACAGCTAGGGTAGACACAGAGGTTTAAGCCCAGATATGTGCCGAACGGACTACCAAAAAAACCAACGTGCCAACATTAGACCTCTACTTTACATAACCTATCTATACGTCATGTTACCTCATGGCTTTCTGCATTGGGATTATGTTTTCATATGCTTGCGTGCATGCACAAAAAGGATTTTTACAAGTCGTTGCTATCTGGCAGGGTAGTAACCTTACAGAACGCAAGAAAGGTGCTTGATATATGACAAAGCATGGCAATAAGTTCAGAACAGACCAGGATGGAGTAGATTCATACTTCTGCGTTTCCTGCGGTATGTAATCTGTACTTCATGAATGACGTGGAAGTAGTAGGGCCCATTCGATTTAACATCAGTCTTAAACAACAAATAAATCTCATCTGTAATCGTAAAATACCTTAAAACAAGCACTTTATTTTATTTTATTAATTTCTGTATGTACTTATTTATTTATTCATGTTTTCTACTCCTAATATAACACCTAATGTCCGTCATGGTTCACTGGACAATTGCGCTCTTCGTACGATGCAGAAAAATTTATATAAAATGCAAACGAATGTATAATGGCGCCTATGGTGGAGTCTGGAAGTGTTTGCTGGTGCTCGTGGAACGGAAAAATTGTGAGAATTTATCCTCATCAATTCTGATCCTCTTTACATTAACTTCCCTTCCTCCCTCCCTCCACCCCCTCCTCCCCATATACCTCATTATGAGTATGATACACTAGACAACTACCCATTATTTCACTATCCTATCCCAAATCACTATTTTAAACTGTCATAATATTTAACAGTGACTTGGTAAACACATGAACAGTTTCTAATGGAAGAACTGACAGAACTTATTCGACAGAAAATTAAAAACTTTAAAGAAATTTTGGCTACTCATAAAGTATTACATTACATCAAATCCTGGCAGCTTACGCTTTGATATCCTAACAACCATAAACGTCAAGGCAATACAGTTGACTTGCAGGCCAATTATTCTTTCATTTTATAACTGAAAATTTAAGGCTCAAGGGTAACAATATTTACCACCAGATTTATAAATACATAACGCTCCTCTTTGCTCACAGCATGTATTGATTTTTTTCGTAAGATTCTCAAGGTAAACAACAAACATTTCTTGAAACGACATTATGTAATTGATCTTAGAAATGTTATTTCCCGGAGATAGTGACTGAATCATTAAATATATATACATACATATATATATATATATATATATATATATATATATCAGCTTCGACTTTAAATGGTAAAAGGGTCTACCACTAAACTGGATTTTAATTATTATTTGAAACATTAACAGCATAGTGATGTTAACATCTAATCGAATTTCTATCGAAAAATACCTAGACATTTACATCTAGGCATGTCGTTTATTCACGACTCCATCTTACCATTTCTCCTGGGCCACTTTGGCTCCCATGACCCCGAAAACCACAGAGAGGGGATATTATACGAATCCTCTTACAACTTTGTTTGCTAGCTACAAGGCGAAGTGTAGGCTATGGTTTATGAAGATTAGGAACCATTGCCTGTACAAAGTGTATAGGAGACTTCATTACACTCATGGTTGCTGCAAATAGGTACAGGAATACACTGTCTTTATGATGTGGCTTCGGTCTCAGTTTGCTGAGGCACGAAGAGACTGGCTAAAGACCACATGTAGTTAGGAACGCCACCGAAACGTCTGCTTGATCAAGTACGTCTATAAATGACAGCATGAACCAAAGCCGTTCATAGTCACTTAACAGCTGATCGGTTGATAGGCTTTTATGATTCAGTAAGAACAAGTACTGAGTGAATGGAGTCCAGTCAAGAGGAAAGATTAGAGAGTGTGACAACGCCTTTGAAGTCGAAGCTTGTCTAAATAGCATTTAAGAATTTAGTCCGTAGCTCAAACAGAACATATCATTTATTTCAATACAAAGATTAGCTGGTTAAATCTCATTAAGGAAATGAGCGCTGTCTATTCTGACAATCAAATTCCATAAATAAAAACTTTAGATTTGTTGTTAAAATAAGTGGTACACATAGTTTCCATTGGACTCCAAAGGGTTAATAAAAACTATGATTTCAAAGCACTTGTTAATGCTTCCATTAAAAAGGAATTGTTTCACTTCAGTACATAATATTATTTTCACGAAAGTGTAAAGAAATATATATATAGGAAAATGTATTTTTTACATATAATTTATTTAATTTCCAATTTATCTCTTTAAAGCGGGAGCATTAGCGTCTTTAGGTATGTGCATTTTTTTAACTATTTCTCTTTCAAAATTTAATTTAATAAAGTAAGAAAGAAAATGGCCTAATGCCACGATTTTTTGTTTCAACTTCGAAATGGGTGTCAGATATTTCAGTGCATTTAATTTAAGGGACTCATAGCTTTTTAATTCTTATTCAGTAGACGTAAAATGACTTTTTGTCCTTTGAGTTCAGCAAGATACCACCAACGTAGACTGCGTCTAGTCCAATATTCTGGGTAATTGAAGCTTGTTGGGTTTTGTATATATGAGGGGTGGGTAGCTGGTCTTGCCCGCGTCCCTGGAGAACGAGGTAACACTAGAGCCCAAGACTCATGCGAAGCTATGGCATGCTTGTATTGGAGCTTGTACATGGTCACCACATGACCTCATAGCGCTCCCCTGAGTCCCATGGCTTCAACCTTCACTGAACTCTGGATTTTCGAAGGAGTATCCAATAAGGTGAGCTGACTCCAGAATGCAAAAGGAACACAGAAAACAATTTTCATCGAATTAATGGATTCGGATAGAGTAACGCGTATTTAATACATTTTAGTAGTGTCGACTGAACGATGTCGAGTTTGCTGAAGTTCAATTTGCTTAGAGTAAGGTGTGGTAGTGACCTGTGACTATTTCTATGTTTGATTAATTGCACCCACGGTACTAACCGCGGTTAACACTTCTGTCTACGTTTGTGATATTCATGATACTTCGTAACAACCACAGAGCAACAATGACATTGTGAGGTCGTCACTATTCACAAACCAACTCGATTTCATTCACGTAAAATATACATCACAAGAATATTTTACGTAGGCTTACACGACGTTTGAACACTTGTCTAACTTTCGTCTTCACGTGATTGTTATTATAAATATGGCTGTCACCTGGGATATAACATTGAAAAGTCTGATAGATATTCACTCTCACTATGTATGTAGTAAACTCCTCTGAAACGTCGGTAAATATCCACCAGACTACAAAGTGATATATTCCGGAAGATAGATATATTCATACTCGTCGCCTTCAGAACCCCAAAACTCTTTTCGTTATACTTGCAGACAGGCATATTTTATTAAATTGATTTCTGAACAAAAGCATGGAACATATGTTTATTTAACTGAAGTCTATTTGAAGCAACTTTCTTGTTGCAGAATGTGTCAATGGAGTAGAGCTAAACTAATGTTTTGATGTTCTCGCGGTGGCGAATATGAAAATGACGGTCATTTGGGTTGTTGTACCATGTATTCTGGCAGAAGTTTATCGGCGTTTCAGAAGTGCTTTCTGCCCCCATCATCAGTGCGATAAGGGCTGATGATGGAGGCAAAAAGCACTTCTGAAACGTCGGTAAACTTCTGCCAGAATACACGGTACAACAACCCAGGAGACAGTAATCTTCTAAATTCTATTGGTGATAGATGAATGCGTAGGCCGAATAATACTATTATAAGGATGTAGAATATATTGAACTGGCTGAGATACGAACTCTAAAAATGTAAGGGGACATTAAACTCTTTTGTTCCATGTTCTATAACGTGAGGGGATTTGTGTAATGACATAAACAAAGACTGAACTGTTGAGTTAGCGAATGATCTTAGTGATGACACCTGCAGTTTACTATTGTCTTGTAGACGACAACACAACGATTTGTTAAGCGCACTGCAACTGAAGAAACATAAATTCAAGCACTTTAACACATCACAGTAGAAATGTTCGCCCCAAAGTAACGTTAGGTAGGGTGGAACTGGGGTTAGCCTCCACGTCTTCATCGTATCTACGCAGCCCAGCCCCATAATTACGTTATTACCCCAGCAACCTTCTTCTCTGTCTCTGCCTGTACTCTCAAGATTAGCATATTATACCAGCTAATGTAGTCGTGTATGGCTGTAGCTATGTGTTCATATTGCACACTTCGCTCAAGTCTAAGGGTTAGGTTAAAATTGCTTACAAGGTTCCGCTATGTGTTGACGTTATGGGCCTCCCTTTGCGGAATGTCTCACACGCAGAGTGGCCCAAGTAACTGCTGCCTTTAAAGTACTAAACTCAAATCAAGAATGTTTTGTAAAATGTATTGGAAATAGGAATACTAACAATTTGGCTGAGAATTCCGGCATATTAGATTATCCGACCAACCTTCGGCCACGTTTAGGTCGGATAATCGGGACTCGGCCGTATTTTGAAATCAAACTCCACGTTAGTGACTGTTAGATGGGAAGTCAGTATTAGTCTACGTATGTAATATACTATCTCGAAGAAGCACGTTTGCAAGGTATCGGAAACCCAAACATGCAACATCAGCAAACATTTGAAACTGGCAGTCAGTCAATCGATCTTCAAAAACATGTAGGCTACTCGAAAGTTCCACCTATCACATAGCTCGTACCGTCATATGCCTAACATCACAAGTGTGTATTTACTCGTACTAATTGCGTTTTCACTCCACACGAGTCTCTTCGACTTCCTAACATTAAACTCCCTCGCCCATAGTTTGATGTAGAGGGTTCGTGAGAGTATAACACAGATTCAGAATGGCACTGTTTGTCCAAAGAGGAATAAAACAACAACACCAAGTATAAAAACATTCTCCCACGTGATAATCTAATTAGGAATTACTAATTTGCTCTCGTAATTTAGAACTTTATAACAACTCTTGATGTCTCCTTGTTTTCTCTAATGAATATCATCTGCCTTAAATTAT